AAAGTAATTGTTGAACTCCATTCAAAAGAACGAATGGTACACAGACCAGTCTACCACTCTTTCTTTTGGATTTCAATTAAGAACAAAAAACAGTAAAATGGGAAAACAGTTTGTTATTTCATTTTTCATTTTAGTGTCAAACAAAAAACACATTTCGACCTCTATTTCCAATATTTAATTTAAAGTTTACTTCAAATAACACTAATCAAAAAATCGTGCCTACTTCAGTTTTGACATTTTCTTCTCTCTGGTTTATTTGTCCTGGAAGTTCTGCTGCTAGAAGGACTTAACTGAAAAACTATTGCAATTTTGTGAACAAACATGTCGTCTTCTTTTACAACAATGAGTTTACTTTGGCGTCTTAGAAAGTCATTGTTGTAACTTGTAATTGTACTTAGAAAATAAATCCATGATGAGAAACAGGAAACAGCTCAGCGATAAAACTTTTGTTCAGTTGACATTGAACTGATGCAGGGAACATTGAGCAGCAGAACTTCGTGGCAAATAAACCAGAGAGAATAAAATATCAAAACTGAAATAGGCACGATTTTTTGATTTGTGTTATTCGAAGTAAACTTTAACTCTTTCCCCCATGAAGACGGCATTTGACGATCCTCCTTGTGTCCTTGTGTGTTTTGACACCTCCGCTATATCAATAAAGACGTGATTTGACGACCATTAGAAACTGTTCCTGTTTTTCATACGTAAACAGAGGCTGTGATAGGTGGGGGCCACTACAACCCATACTAGACTGACCAATAGGATTCAAGGATATATTTTCACCGATTTTTTCCGAAGTTAATCGAAGTAGTGACAATTGTAGCTTCTGGAAAAAAACACAACACTAAACACGTGCAATTTAGACACAGTTTTAGAAATAATGAGGAGCGGGCGTATTTTATGGATAAGTTTAGAGAAAGTTTTTATAGATTTCAAAGTGATGATGAAGTTGATTATAAAGTGGAAAACAACGATAGCGACCGAATTTCAGAGTTTGAAACTTACAAAGGTGAGAATGTCGGTGATGTGTCTGGATGGAGTCATGCGATATCCAAACGAAGTATCGGGGACTTTATACTCGATTATGTAGCAAAATTGCCCTGAAATCTGGATTTTACTCAGGTGAGTCCTTTGATATTAATTAATATTTCAGTCTTTTTTTTCCAAGATGCAATGTGGGACAGAATTGCCACACAAACGCTCAGAGATCTGCACATGAGAAAGTAACCAAGATGACAAATACTGGACACCCACTGACGAGGAAGAGTTTCATGATTATATTATTATATTATAATACACTAAATTAGTTGAATAAGTTAAATAAGTTGAATAAGTTAAATAAGTTGAATAAGTTAAATAAGGTGAATAAGTTAAATAAGTTGAATAAGTTAAATGAGTTGAATAATTTAAATGGAAAAAATGAATTAGGTGCACACAGGTGTACAACAGGTAAAAACAGGTGTACACTTGGCTATACTGTATCTGGTGATATGAAATCTGTTTAAATACTTTGACATGTACATGTACATGTACATAATATATATATATATATATATATATATATATATATATATATATATATATATATATATATATATATATATATATATAGATATATATATATATATATATAGATATAGATATAGATATAGATATATATATACTTTTTTTTTTATATAGTACTCAGAACAGGCATATATCAGATGCTGAATGTAGTTTTTTTGTTGTAAACTCTCATTTTCAGTGAGCTGTTATAAATAAATGAGTTGAATCACATTTAAACATCCATAAATGAAGAGTTCAGAGTCGAAGGTTTCCAGAGATACAAATATGTCTGTGTTTCAATTAAGTTCATGAGTGTGAAAATCATTTAGAATCACTGGTGGAAGTCTGTTTTCTTTCATGCAGTTGTGTTCTATGGGCAGCCCTAGTCATATGTGTATGGGTTGGTCCTAGTCGGCGTCCAAGGGGGAAAGAGTGACATTAAATATTGGAAATAGAGGTCAAAATCAGTTTTTTTTTTGGTTGACACTAAAACGCTAAAATGGAAAAATGAAATAAACTGTTTTCCCATTTTATTGTTTTTCATTTTTAACTGAAATTCAAAAGAACAGTTGGTACACGGACCTTGGAATCTCACCTCCAACCTGTGGGTCTGACTAAACTGTTAAAAAAAGATGTAGAGATTGGGATTCGAACTGCCAACCTATGGATCAGTGGACAAACACTCTACTAACGGATCTACTATTGCCTGTTCTTTCACACATTCCTTTCCTCTAATAAAGTCCTTGACATTTACTCAGCTTGTCATTTTCTCAAAAAAAATATTTAACAATTCCGCACTTTTCCGAGCACATTTGATTCTCCTGCATCTGTCACACCTTCCCTCCCCGAACCAGACAAACCTGCACGATCCCACCATGAATATAATACATCTTCATAAGAGAAAGCAGAGGCACAAACAAAACATGAGACTAAGAATAGAGGTGCTCTGGGGGTAGAAGCCTCTGGGACCTGTGCATGTGCTGCTGGGGTGAGGAAGAAGAGCAGAAAGCAGGAGGCAGAGGAGGAGGAAGAAAGAGGAGAAGAGGAGGAGGAGGAGAACCAGGGAGAACCAGAGAGAGCGAGCAGGTCACTGTCAGAGCAAACTAGAGACAAAACAACACCTGGGCGAGTGGGTTTCAAACATCACAACATTCTAGAGCTCAAGAATACTTCATACTCACATAAAGTATTAGAGGAAGCTGAAATGAATATTGTGATCGTGCATTTTTTGTTATACTATTGACAGTTGTTGGGTCTAGCCACTAATAAAAATGATCAGGTTCAACATTTGTGAATTTACTTTTTAGATATATAATGGCAAATTTTTAATGTTCATCACTTTCACATTCTAGATCCGGAGTGTTAAACTCAAATTCACAGAGGTCCAAAACTAAAAACTGAGACTAAGTCGTGGGCCAAACTAAATATTTATTGAAAAATTTCAGCAGCATCTGCATGTTTTCTCTTCTTTCGAGATATGAAATATTAAACCTTTTCTTATTCAAATAAATGTGTAATCATAGTTTTGCTTAAACACTGAATCCAGAACAAGCAAAATATAAAATAATTAGAAAAAAAAGTTTCTATAGTCTATCTGTAGCCAGTGGGCAGCTCTAATACATATTTGATATAATCTCGTGGGCCAAATATAATTATATCATGGGCCAAATTTGGCCCCTGGGCCTGAGTTTGACTGTCTGTTGTAGAATCTGTAGACTGCCAATAACTGTGGTAAGTGGGACAAAAACTGCTGCTAGTACATGTGTAGAGTGTAAGAAAGTGGTGTTGGTAGTAATGCAACATGATTGTGGTTTGGATAGCAAATTATATGAGGTTTTTAATTCTCTCATGCTCCTCAACTTTTCAGTAATTTACATTCAAAGAACTTTTACACTTTTGGAAACAGTATAGATTAGAGGTGTGCAAAAATACTGGAAATATTGACATATTGTATTGTTTAATGTGATGATACAGTATCGATATCGTGGGCTGCTGTATTGATATATCACCAAGAGTATTTTTTGGTATATTTTACTAAATGATTTTGTTACAGCTACAGTTTTGTTGCTTGTTGTTTAGAGGAAGAAAACTTGTTTATGTGACACATTTGACATTTTCACCGTTTTGATGATTAAATATTTGTGTTTCATATGAACTTTGCACAAGAAGTGGTTTAACAAAGACTTTTAGAGTCACAGCCATGATTTTGCCTTTTTTTATTGAACCGTATCGAATCAATTTGAAATATATTGCACTGAATCGTACTGAATTGTAAGCTTACTATATTGAGATATGCATCATATTGTGGCTTATGTATCGAGGTACGTATTCTATCAGCAACTTCTGAATGATACCCAGCCCTATAGATATTGGAAATTTTATAATAATAATGCAAATGCAAACATCCAAAGCTCTTTTATACTGCAATATTCATTCGCTCCAAGTCAGAGGTGGTAAGACACTATTGTAGCTACAGCTGCCTTGCATAGAACTATAATAAAATCTGATGGTGAACCAAATATGGTGTCGTATTGTTTTCACTAGCTTGTGCTCATTGGCGCATGGGCCCAAAAATAATTTTCTCTAGGCGCTTTGAGGATTTAAACATTTTAAAAAGTTCATATTGTGAAAATAGAAAAGATTCCTAAAAAAATGAGTTGTGCTCTGTGGGAGAATTCTTTCTGGCCCCAAACTCAGTACACAGTAGAGCTGCAGTACCTGAAGTGGCCACTTGTCGGTCTGGAGACAGAGGGGGAGGGGCTTATCCAGTGTTTATTAGAGATCCATTCTGCCTTGAGACAGACTGACAGGAAGTGAGGCTGCCAATCTGCTCCATCTGCCCCTCTGACCATCACCAACACTCACACACACCACATTCATGTTGGGCAATGTGGGCGAAGTGTCTTGCTCAAGGACACAATGACATTCCCTTACGCTGTTTAGTATCAACCTTCTGCAAAGTCTGTGTGTGTACTATTCACTATTCACAGGCAACAAAACATCCTCCGCACCTTCCATTTTTCCTGTAAATGTCGATCGGATACAGACACAAATTTAGTATTTTTCACACAACGAGGAAACGTCTGCAAAGCATTTTTCTACAGCAGCTTTATCCTCGGATAGCGGTTGTCTTTGTGTAATACCTCAATTGTTCAGGTCGGCTCCATCGCGAAAGAAAATTGAATTCCTTTGTCTTTTGTTTTTAAGAGCAAATGCATTTTGCCACTCATCCAAGTAGCTCCTTCACTTCTGACATTACACTGGAGCCACTACCTTGAATATTTGTCTGACTACAGTTATATCATTACGCCGTATTTGACAACAGTCTCTTGATATAATGTGATGTGTGAGCTGCTGTGTCCAAATAATTCCCCTTGTGGATCAATAAAGTTTGTTAAAGTCCGAGTGGTGTGATCCGGCGTCGCACAGAGCAGAGTTCTGGACTGGTCCCTTACCTGAACCCTGGCGGCGGAGTCCTGTTTGATCCACTTGATGACCGTCTCGTAGACCAGCTCCTCGGCCTTTGTGTTCAGACTGTCGTTGGAGAGATAAGACACCAGATCCTCTTTGGACACGCTCAAGATCTCCTCCTGCCCAGCTACCTGCACACGGAGAAAAACAGGGTATTTACGAAGGGTTTGGGACAATACTATGCAACCTTTTTCCTCCAGTGAGCTACATTTTCAAAACGAAATTGAGTATCAGAGCCACAGCCTTAGAGGGGTACAATTAGATGCCTATGAAACTAAAAGTTACAGAGTCAGGCATCAAAATTAGACATTCATTGTAAGTTCAGTTCACTGTAGTTTCAGCCCAATACATACTGTATAATTGAGAAACCCCTTGGCAAGCTGCTTGGAAGGGGGTGGAGAGCTACTGGTATTTCCCGATAAGCAAGTGTGTCAAGTTAAGTTTCTACGCAGAGACCCTTTCATGCACACAGAGAAGTCAAAGAGCTTTACACAGAATTCACCACAACATTTCTGAAATATATCAAATGTTCTCATTGGTACCATATCAGATAAATACATGGGAACTCTAGCTCCATCTCCATGTTGTTATTCACAGATCTTGTAAAGAATAATATCTGTCAGTGTCTGCAATGGCATGAATCAAATACATTTGGTATTTACTCATTATGTGCATTTCTGTTGCTCAGTAATACACTAAGGGCCCGTTCACACAACAATGTTTTTTGGTCAAAATGGTAAAGTTTGTATTCGTTTTGGCCTTTCATCCACACGGAGCTGGTGTTTCTGTTGGGCGAAAAACTATGTTTTTTGAGAACGGGTTCCAGAGTGGAGAAATCTGAGAACGCTGCCGTTGCATTGTTATGTGGACAAGCAAACCGAAGCTTTTGGAAAATGATGATGTCACGATCCCATCATCACCAGCGCCTCCGATGCAGCGAAGTCTGCAGCCCTCAAACTAGCCTCCGCGGACCACAAGTCTGTAGCCTACGGAGCCGCTCCTGTCGCCCAGCAACGGAGAGACGCTGTTAGTGCTAATGCTAACAACACGTACTGCAGATTACACACACGGATCAATATCAAAGACTACGCACGGGTAATTAAACTGTTGGATTTTGAGACCAAGTTATTCTATTAATTCTCATCGAAATCTTATATTTAACTTTAGCAAAACAAAACGGCTATATTTGTGGGAAATATCTAAAATAGACTAAATTACCTTAAAGTAAAAAAAAACTTTGATGAGATTTGCGTTATTAAATGTTATTATCATTGTTAACAGCGCCACATACAGGTGTGGCAGATGTATTTCACTCAGTGCACCGTTGTCGTCTGGACGTGAATATTTACTGATCCGGCACGTGTGTGGTTGCAAATTTTTTTTCAGCCCGCACAAACATAAATAAATAAATCCAGGAGTGTTGCTGTGTGGACGTAACCTAATTCCTAAATCCCTCTAACTCGCCACAGATCTGAGCTGTAATGTAGTGTAGTGCTGTAACCTGCTTATCTAACAGGCTTCATCTATACTGTGAACATTCAAAACAAAACAATAACTAGTCACTAGAAATGTTACATAGTGCATCTTTAATTCGATAAGAAAATAACAATAAACAAAAGGAAAAAAACAACTAAACAAACAATCATGTACAGCCCCCCCTTATGCTGTAGTGTAGTGTGGAAGTAGAACCCTCACCTCTGGAAAGTTCTGCAGAGCGAAGGCTTTGGCCATGTTGTGGAGCTCAGTGCAGCTCATGGCCTCCGCCATGGCCAGAACCCCCAGACAGTTCCCCGCCGTGAGCTGCTTCTCTGGATCCAGCAACACCACGAAACAACCGAGAGAGAGAGGGAAAGAGGTGACAAAAGAGGAGAGAAGTGAGGGACGAGGAGACAAGAGAGGGAACACAGAGGGAGAGAGAGGAGGGGGGGAGGAGACAAAAGAAGTAAGACATGCATTTGATAAACACATATTAAGCAATTTTCTGATCTATGTTGTAATGTTTCCTCATCACAAATAGACCTGGACTTGTGTTTCACATGTTTAAAGCACAAACCCTGCACATTTAGGCTGAGTTCTTCTCTCAAACTGAAAACACTCTGTACCACCTTGTGATGTCACTTGGTAATACAGGAAGTGCTGCATTGTGTTTTTAAAATGCATGATTTCTGCCCTGGAATTGTTCATTTCTACTGAATTAAAGATAAAATGTAGGTGTTAACTTGGAAACTACCACTTCATGACATCACGAGTTGGACCAGAGCATTTTGAGCTATGGAGATGTAGACAGGGTTACTCAAACGTGTGAATGAAACAAAATACAACTCCGGGTCTGTTTTTGAGGAGGGAACAATATTCAGGCTACGTTTATATGATGACGGTCTGAACAGAAGACGCAAAAATGGCGTCTCGTCTTCACTTTTTATTCCGTGTTTAGCCGAGAGTTTTTGGGAGGAAATCTGCATGAATACAGTGATGCAAGAGTGTGTAGGGGGTGACACTCGGTGGTGATGTATGTGATGTAAACGCGTACACGGCGTGAGCAGATCTGACCAGAGTTTTGTGTCTTGGGCAGTGTAGACGGAAACGCTACGGTGGAACGTATTCAGCTTTTCCACTCTGGAGGGTGGTTTCACATTTTTGCGTTTTTAAGCTCCAAAACCGCCGTCACCTTCAAAACGAAAGACACTTCCGATAAAATATTTTGTCGTTTTTCTCATGTAAACAGGCCGTCAAACATGACTAAAATCTCACAGGAGTCATTTTTGTGTGATACAGGAGCTTTACCGCTGCTTCAGTTTGACTTTCTCTGTATACTTTTTGAGTCGTGAGTGAACAAAAGTGATAAATGTGCTTTGCTTGTACAGAGAGGGAGAGTTGGACACAGACTCAGACCTGACTAAACACTGAGATGGACCAGAGCACCGTGAGTCCCTTTATCAGTGAGGAACAGTCCCAGAGCACGGCCCCCAAACAAACACCAACCACAAAGTCTGCTCACATCTGCTGAAACACGCAAATATACAGCAAGTCATCACCAGGGACACAAAACTGACCCACTCCAAGAACTTTTAAAGGTCCGATAGTACGCAAAATGGACTCTGGTGAGCTTTAAGTCATCTTATTATGTTATTACCTCCTCCAAATTCATTGTACGCAGCAAAAAAATATCTGCATGAGTTATTAATGGCTTTAATTTAAAACTTGAGAATTTTTTTTATTGTTTTTTTTTTTTTAGGAATACAAATTTATTTCATATTAAAAAAAGATTAAGATATTATGCAAATCTGACTCAATTTAAGACGTTATAATGTTGCTACCTCCTCATAAACAGACCTGTAGGGATGCACCAATATTATTTTTTTGAAAACCGATTCAAGTATGACTATAATCATTGCTGTACTTGCCGATACTGAGTACTGATACCGATACTTTAACCCCCACCCACATGAACATACAGTGACAGTGAATGCAAATGCAGATTTTATTTTTACTCTCGGAACATTACAAAATTTGACGCATAGTTCGCACAGACAACTTAGCAACAAGTGAGTGACACTATTAGTCTGCACATTTGAATCCAACTGAGAATCAACATCACATCTGGAACGTAGCGACGACAGGGCAGCTCGTATCTGGGCTCTAGAACATCTATAAAATGATAAAACCCAGTATCATCCACGACTTTCTCTCGTTGACCGGACATTTGCTCTCGCTTCTTGAAAACTTCGGTTAAAGTTGTCTGTTGACGGCCAGTGCTGCTTTCAAGTTCAGCGTGCTTATCACTGTGCTGTGTCTTCAAATGTTTGATTAAGGTTACGTTTACACTGAAACTAATCACTGTATCACCATATCACTGTATGGAATGATTTGAAATGATTTGCGTCCAGACACGTCGCTTCTCTGTCTGCAATCAAAGACTTCCTTATCCACACAGTAACACAAAACCGCCTGAAACACTAGTCACATGACTAGGCTGGCATCACGTTGTCACAGCATCACATGGGCGGTAGAAACAAAGAAGTGGAGCACCGCGTCTGAAATTGCAGCAGCCAATTTTCAACCGAGGAAGATGGCATGAAAGTAACTTCTTGGGTTCTTTTTAAAGACAATGCAGCTGCCATTTTCAGAACTCTGAAGCGAACAGCCAAAACATGTCAACAAGATAAATACACTTTACTGCACTGTCTTTAAAAAGAACCCAAGAAGTTGAAGTACATAAGAAGACAAAATGAACATCATTGGCTTAAGCGTGAAAGTAGTACGTAGTTTTAGCTCCGCTGTTTCCTGTTTGTCTCTGGTTTGTTTAAACTGTTTTCCGCAATAGCGTCACATGACCGATGTCACGAACCCAGCGAATCAGGAAGGAGCAAGTCACAGTGACGTGGTTCAATAAGAACACAACTAGAGCTCCTACATCAGCGTATCAGCGTTTTCAGGCGTCCACACAGTGCCGGATCAGATCTGTGCTCAGATGAATTCGTGGGAGCTGGAGGCACCAGATCGTTCCGTCTCTGGAGCCGTTTTCCATCAGATTAATGTGAACGAACACTGCATCCGCAACGAAAACAACTCAAATACGCACTAGTGTGGATGGGGCCTAAATTGCTTGTTGTATATGAAGTGTTTTCCTTTCCACCTTTCGACACCTTGGCACTTATTTATTTACAATCCGCTTCACTCCTGTCGTCCTCCCTGATACTAAAACACTTCCAAACTGCTGACGATGACATGATTGAGCATTATTTGCGTGTGACGAACTGTGTTTTCAGACTCTTTGTCTTCCTCTGGACATTGTCGGTAGAACCACAAATAGCCTCCTGAACATGACCAGTGATGTTGTGTAGTATCGCGTAATAGTGGTGCGTTTAACGAGTACAAGTACAAGTATATAACCTGGAGTTGTGTTTTGTTTCATTCACACGTTTGAGTAATCCTTTATTATCAGGCTGTGTACACCTTGTGACGTCATGAAGTGGTGCTACCTTTTCTTTTAGTTCAGTGGAGTTCGGCAATTCCAGAGCTGAAATGATCCAAATGATTCCAGTGAAGATGTATGAAGTTTAAAAACACAGTAATACACACTTCCTGTATTACCACATGACATCACAAGGTGGAACTCAGCTTAAATGTGCCGGGTTTGTGTGTTAAACATGTGTGAATGAAACAAAACACAACTCCAAGTGTGAAACAACATCAGAACATTCATCTAGCTCCAGAACATCATTTCTTGGTTAGTTATAAATAAATTACAGACACTTTTAGGCACAGAGTCGGGAGCAGAAGTAGGTCGACTCGTGTAGATTTTCCCTCTTCCTACACAGTTCATTTGTTCCACTCTTCAATACACCATCTGACACTGTATTCATTTTTCTCTGCTCAAGGTTACCCTCTCCAGCCTCGCTAAATGCCATGAATCTTGTCACGGGGAAAGAATGGATTGACGCTGAAAATGAAGTCTACAAATGGCATCCCTTCTCTCCGCATCTGTGCCCAAATGGTAAAAAACAAATCAATAAAGCGCCCACCGTTCACGCGCGCTCCCCCTTTCAGTCCCTGTGACCTTTTTACCAGATCCCCTATAGTGTTATGGAGACCCGCGACATGGCACTAAACTCTGCTAAACGTGACCTTTGCTGCTCCGCCTATTACGGGTTATTTGCTTTTCATATGAACCCCACAGGCTTCCGTCAAACACACTTCTCTTCTGTTTTTATACCAGGACTAAACCAGGAATAAACCGGGACTAAACTAGGACTAAACCAGGATTAAACAAGGATTAAACAAGGACTAAACTAGGATTAAACCAGGATTAAACCAGGTCTAAACCAGGACTAAATCAGGAATAAACCAGGAAAAAAACAGGAATAAACCAGGATTAAACCAGGACTAAACCAGGTCTAAATCAGGTCTGAACGAGGACTAAATCAGGACTAAACCAAGTCTAAACCAGGTCTAAACCAAGACTAAACTAGGACTAAACCAAGTCTAAACCAGGACTAAACTACGTCTAAACTAGGACTAAACCAGGTCTAAACCAGGTCTAAATCAGGTCTGAACGAGGACTAAATCAGGACTAAACCAAGTCTAAACCAGGTCTAAACCAAGACTAAACTAGGACTAAACCAAGTCTAAACCAGGACTAAACTATGTCTAAACTAGGACTAAATCAGGACTAAAACAAGTCTAAACCAATTCTAAGCAAGGACTAAACCAAGACTAAACCAGGCCTGAATGAGTACTAAACTAGGACTAAACCAGGACTAAACCAGGACTAAACCAGGACAAAAAGAAGTCTAACCAAGATTAAACCAGGTCTAAAACAAGACTAAACCAGGACTGAATGAAGTCTAAACAGGTCTAAAACAAGTCTAAATCAGGACTAATCCAGGTCTAAACCAGGTCTAGACCAGGACTAAATCAAGAGTAAGGCAGGTCTAAACAATGACTAAACCAGGACGACTTCAAACAGGACTTAAATCAGAACTAAAGCAGAACCGGTGTCGGCGGCAAGGTGGGGCATGTGAGGGCCGTGCCCCCTCTAGAGGCCACTGGTGCCCCACCCCCCAGCACAGGCCGTAATTATTACTATTTTAAAATCATTTTGATTGGCGCATTTCACTTCGGGCTGTTGTGTTTCGCGTGGCTGTTCATTGTGCTCTGATATAGTTCAGCCACTAGTAACCAAAATATTCATAATATATATTTATAATTTTGGCCTTGGTGCCCCTCCCAAAAATGATACCACCATTTTTTTTTATTTCTTTTTTTTTTTTATATCTCACATCAGGAGAAGTGTGTGGACGGTGTA